GTCGCGACAGTCACTTGATGCGAGCGTGTAGCCAAGGGAGCTTGGCGAGCCAATTCCAGAGGGTAGTTTGGGGGTGGCCCTTGAAGGGGGGGGGGGGGGGGGGGGGTGGCGTCGAAGAAGAGGGAAACAGACTTGTCGTATCCCATGTCATGCACGTTTCTACCCTCTGCCATGGTGCCATAGGGCCATAGTGTCATAGTGTCACAGTATAATAGTGCCATATAGTACCATAGTGTCATGTTATCATAGTCTCATAGTAGTAGTAGTAGTAGTAGTAGTAGTAGTAGTATCTATATCAACCTACAGAGGTCGAATGGCCATAGCGGCAATCCAACCCAACAACACACTACCGAGTGAGAAGAATGCATTTGCATGTCGCAACTTTTGCAGAGGTAAACTACATTGGGTGGGTATCCTGGCAACCGCCCCGAGAGAAGAGAAAGAAAATGCGCTGCAGTTTTTGGCACCGACCATGACGACAACCCAAAAAAAAACGCCTTAACACCTTGCCTACACACCCATCCATTCCCATTTTTTGATGCCCGCCGAGCAAACCATGCTCGATAAAAGGAGAAACAAAAGCCTGTGCAAATCTACCGAGCAAGTGCTGATAGGAACCATCCATGCTGCGAACCGAACCGTGGACCGTGGACCGTCTAACATTACGGGCGTCTCCAACAAAAAAAAATCGACCGACTGCAGACCCAACAAATGCGGCGGATGCTGACTAAATATCACGAGTTGAAACGCCAACTGTACTCAAGAAGTCGGGAAACCGGCGCAGCGCTCACGAAGCATGCGACTGCCTGGAGCAGGCGTCGACGGAGGCGTAATCGTCGCCATTGGCGGGATGGGTAACATTCTGATGTTGTCGTCGGCATCCGCCCCTTCACGCGTGCCCCATGTGGTCTGTTGCAGCCGCCCGTTAGCTTCTATCGAGCAAAGCCCATGTTGTGCGGGGCTAGAACCTACCTCTGTCACCGTGATACAACCATAGAGCTTGATCAAATTGTGGAAATAACCAAACAGGATCGAGACCGGGATGAAGCGGACGTCGCCCGGATTTCGCAACAAATGAGGGACTAGCTTGATCGTCTTTGCAAATACCCAGTGGGCAAGGAACAGCGCCCACAGGAGGGTGCGTTGCCAGGGCGCGTCCTGGGCATGGATGGAATTGTTGTTGTTGATATTATTATTGTTGATGGTGGTAGTGGTAGTGGTGAGGAGGTGGTGGTGGTGGTGGTGGTTGTTGTTGTTGTTGTTGTCAACAGCGTAGTACCCGGCTTCCGCCAGGGCAAAGTAAACTGTGATGACGAGCAGGGCATCGAGCAGAAAAGCCCATTGCGTAATGGTGGTCTGGAAGACGGCGTAGAGAGACCACGGGTAGCTCCTGCGGGCAGAATAATAGTCAGCACACACACACAAACACACACAGACACACACACACACACACAGGCAATGGCAAGTGCCTTTCGGCGGATGCGAAGAGGGGCATGGCGGCTTGGCGCCCAACTACGCCAGACATGTGCAAACATGCAAGCGAGCCGGTCGGTACTTGGGTATGTACTTACGTCCACATTTTCGTCTCGGTCAGACTGGTTAGATTGCTCCTCCAGTTAGAGCGCACCCAACGGAGGCACTGGCGCAGGTACTTGGAGTCGTTCTCGAGCGTCGTCTCCACCTCGCACTCGCGGTGGTTCTGGATCTTGATTTTCCAATCGTGTGAAAAGAGCCACCGTGTGATGAAGTTGTCGTCGTCGGCGTTGAGGAAGTGGTCGCTGCCCCACGTCTCGTGCGTGAAGCCGTAGGTAAAGTTGGAATCTTGCAGAATCTCAGAGCGATACGCAACGGCTCGTCCCGAAAGGCACGGCAGACCACCATCGATCCAGTTGCACGCAGTGCAGTCAAAGTTTCTTCTCACCAGGTAGATGGCACCGAGAAATTCCCATATGTTGGAGCGATTGAAACGCCGAAGTTGTTGGTTGGTTCCTACGCCACCCACCCGGGCATCTTCAAAGGGAGCGAGAATCCACTTGGTGAACTTCTCGGGGAGCCAGACATCGTCGTCGAGCAGCAGTGTGATTTTCGTCTCGACTTCAGGAATGGCCCGACACAGCTGCCTGCGCTTGTTCGCCTGGCTGACTGACAAGACCTGGATGAGCTTTGGGTTGCCCAGCTCTTCCACCATCTGGTAGACACGCTTGACACGCGAGTCAGGTGTTACCAGCAAAAGTTCGAGTGGCTCGAGTCGGTATGCGCTTTGGACCGTCTCCTTCAATTGCTGGAGGTCTTCGGCCACAGTGGGGATGATGACAGTCATATCCTTGGACGTAATGGTCGGCTCGTCAACGGGTTGTATGGGCCTATACGTCCAGTTGCTCGCCAAATTGACCCATAACCTGACATAACGGAACAAACTATAATAGCGAGTCAGTGACATCCAGCAATACCGCCATTGACAGTGACAGCACCTGGCGCGGACGCCGACTCGGACTTACAAGAGCGCCAAAAATATGCAGAACCAGCTCCAATTGGGAAACAGGGTCCATGAAAAGGGAAACATTGCAACGGCCAGCGAGCGTGGTAGTACGAAACGTGAACTACTTCAATGGACGACAGGGCGATGATTACATCGAATGGTGGGAGAGCAAAAACCCGCTTACGTCGGGGAAGCAGCGGAAGCACGAGTATTTAAACACATGTTTTGCGGGTGGGCTAGGGCGGCGAGGTGATGCTACGCTTTTCGGCGCTGTCCAAGCTGCAGGACGTTCCCTTAGCAGACTTTGGGGTAGTGTAAACCTGGCTTGAGCATGAGGTAGTTGCAAATATCCAGAGGCGGGCCAGGATTGTTTCGTTTGGGAATAGCACATGCGCCCAGTGAGCGCGAGCGTCATGCTTGGATCCCGCCAGCCGTTGAATCGCTCGCATATTCCGGGCACCCTGGCACAGGCGCCATCAGGGATCGACTGCATCGTGGTGTGAAAGTCGACGGGGGCTTGTGTGCAACCGCCCCGCGCGAGCTGCGGTAGGTATTGCTGCGGTTAAGAGGAGCACGAGACACCCGCCCCGCTACCCTCACTCAGCTCCTGGCACTGCATAGCACCTCATGGTACCATCAGCAGCCTCTAAGCACTCCTTCGTATTCACACTCGTGGACATTGGCCTCCCAAGGCTCTCTCAACGCAACGCACACAAGCGGCGGCCTTTGGAGAGAAGCCGCGCGGGCTGCGAACCATGCGGCTGATGATCGATGGATGGGTCAATATATGGCCCCCCTCCCTCCAGCTTGGCGCCAGTCCGTCCTCGATCAGTTGCTCTAGGCCTGAATTGCCCACTGCCAGTGTAGAGTGCCATGCACTAACCGCTGCACGCGGCCTCAAGCAGGCGTGGCGCAATGGCGACGATAGGCGCCTGTTGGCCTTTTGGCGGCAGGGCTGGCGTCTCCAGCTTCCACTCAGACACCATATCTCGTCACGGCTAATTCGTCGCTACGGCCCTGCCAGAGCGGCCTCTCCAGACTCTTCTTAACGACAAACTCGCCGTGTTATAGTAGGGGCTGGCCAGCAGGCCGCTCTCCAGTAGCTATCCAAAAGCATTAGTGGCGTGGGTCAATTTGCATAGCTAGCCGAGCAATTGCACATCGTGTCACCTTCCACGTCAAACCCGTCCACTGGGACTTTTGTGCGGCATGTCCATGCCATGTACCTCGCCGGCCCTTCCTGGTGGCTTGCCGTTCTGCTCGTGCTTGGTCCCACTTCAGCGACATCAGCCTGCGTCCGTACACCGGCCGTGTATGTACCTCCCTGGTCGGACTCATTGCCGTATAGAGCCCTTCAACCATGAGTGCTGAGTGGTGTGCCGTCATGCTTCAAGATTGACCCCAATCAATTCTGTTTGAGCCGCCGGGGCCAGCTCAATCGGAAAGGTACCTGCACCGGCAGAAAAGATACGTGGACCGTCTTCTGTCCCAATCCCACACCAAGCTCATGTAAGTGTGCTGCAAAGTCGGGGTGCCATACCATGCGCCTGCAGATCCAGTTGCCGGCCCGCGGGAAGACTTACGCGCTCCAATCGTTAATGTCGTGATAGCTGCAGAGGCCTGTTGGCGCATGCTGCAGGTAATATATGAAAGAGGGTGGGTGGCCACCATGCGAGCCATCGAACAATCACTTGCCCATGGAACGCCATCATGCTGTCAGAGGTTCCCTGCATAAGTAGAATAACCACTTGGCCTACTTCTGTCCACTTTGGAACACATTTCAATGTGAATCATGTACCGTAAGGCGGGTTATACTGCAATTGTCGTCAGTCTCGATTCATGTGCGCTGCTGTCTAGACTGGAGCAACTGCAACCCTGGTCCCCTATATTTTCGTGTTCCCACGGCCAGTTTACGTTGCCGTTCGCCTAGAGTGGCAATTGGTACGGGGCATTTGAGATATTGCGTCAGTGACTCCCCAGTATGCGGACAACGGTAACCGTCTGCAATCTCCGGATCGTATCCCGCTTCCTCGCGAGGATTAGAGCCGCCTTGGTGGCGGTATGCCTCTCAGTGTACATGTAGCGAACATGACAGGAAAGAGAAGAGCTGCATGGAATTGCACATGTGATTATATAGCCGGCAGATGCTCCCGCTTCGACAGGCTGTGCCATACTTCTCCTAAAACCTCTGATGAAATTAGAGCTACTCGATTATGAGACGACTTCAGTACTCAAAGCATGTGGATTTCAGAACTGTTAGAAGGTTAGTAGGACTCTTGGACTGAGTGTTGCTTGGAAAGTTAACCGAATGCACCTTATCCTACTCGGTCTCACCATGAAGTCGTGTGATCGTTGGCCTCTACGCAACTGGAACACCGATTTGCGAATCCACAGTGGGCAAGTCACTAACGGCGCACACTGGTAACATAATCCGGTCTGGTGAGTGCCCGTAAACTGCAAACTGTTTTCATGACAACGCAGGCCCGAAAACAACGCCGTTTTAATCGTCTCAGTCGTATAAGAAACGATTTTTGTACCTTTTGAAGAGGCCGAGCGGGAGAGTCCAACTTATCTGGGCATATACAACCCTCGCCGTTGACTGAGAAAGAGGTAGTTGAAACAGGCGCACTCGATAACGACACTTGGCAGAACCTCCATCTGGTGGACATGGCGATTGGTAACAAAGTTACTTCTGATCCACATCTGCTCCTCATTCAGCTTGTACTGCTGCAGTCACCTAAGCAACTGTAATACGCTCTACGGGTGGGCGTTGATGCTTGAGAATCTTTTCCTTGTCACGAATCGCAAAAATTTTGACGACAAGAGAAATTCTGTTCATCGGCTTGGACTCTCGAGAAGCGATTTCGGTTTGCCAGACGGGCCTTCCTGTCCGAATAGAAGACCACACGACCCGCTGGCAGGTCCAAGGTAACACCAACACCACGTGGGGAAGCATGTATGAATCCAACGGGATGTCTTTTCCCGAAGTTGAATCTTGCTCACCTAGAGGATGCGATGGCTCCATTTGCAGGAGATCTGCCATTGCTGTGGTGAGCCAACGAGGGAGCGACCTTTGGTCTGACATGCATCGACGCATCCAACGTGACTGCGGATGTACTGGTAGTGTAACCACTAACGTAGAATGGCGGTTCATCCGCCACAGGAGTCACAAAAAGCTGTGAAGGGGTTACTAAGAGCTTGAAGGTGCTGTCGAAGCAATGTTGTAGTGGCGTTGAAGCCAGACTAGCGCTGGATCCTGGCCCACGCACCTTCCCAAGACACTCTCTTTCTTTGAGGCCTCTCCCGACTCTCGACTCTCTTGCACACAGGAAGCTGTCACCAGACAGTGAGAGCCAGTCTTCATCATCTTCACGCCGTTAGTTGCAACCAATATTCCACACTCTTATCAGCAAAACAAACTATCCTTATATTTCTGACGAGTTCGGCAAGCCTCACACTTTTCGGCCATGACCGACAACAACGAGCCGTGACCCTTTCGTCGCGCCACATGGAGTGCACTGGAAGGGGGCCAGGGGCCTAGATGGGCGTTGTCTGCATCCTTACTAGACGCCAGCCAGTTTCTATGAGACCAAGGCTCAACCTGCTCTAGGCAGTCCTGCATCGCCAAACCTTTCACATCCCGACCGAGTCAAGCACTGCATCACTCGTCTGACTTGCACGTCATCGTGCTGGGGTACCGGAATTGACCAAATGAACACGATCTACAAAGCTCCATTGAGAAAAGAAGTAGATACTCACAAGCTCTCAGAAGCTTTCGACAGCCTTTGAGAGCCTATCGGTATCCAACCTTTACCCCAAATGTTCGCCTTGCTACCTGCCGCCTCAAGCGGGAAGGGACAATGTTCCGCAATTCCGCATCCCACAATGATACTGATTCCGCCAATCTCGAGATCCTAGATGCAGTCACATGCATAGTACATATGCACACGAAAGACCCTAAAGGCGCAATGGGCGAATTACAGATGGAGTCCGGTCCGCGGTCTAGCCATAGTACTTATTTCGCTGACTTTGCGTGAACGGTGAGTAGGACTTTTAGCTGCATATGCCCACTTCATACAACTCGTAGATGTGTGGTATGATGCACCGATCCTTTCTTGCAAGTTTGCAGCCGGATACGCACACAAATTGTCAGCGACTTCTGGTCCTATGTGGGCTGCTTTTGGCAGGCATACAATATCTTCACAAGCATTGGCGCTTTTAGTGGGACATCAGCGAATTTCAATCTCCAGAGATCTGAAGCGAGGCGAGGCAAGGCGAGGCGAGGCGAACGGTTGACTACACAAACTAACGCAGCCTTCCATGTTCAGATGGGTCTCTCGTGTTAGGCGATCCTTCTTGTATCTACCGGTAGCGCCCGAGCACCGAATGCAGCAAGGTACAAAGATCTACTACGGTAGCAGTGTGGTACTGCGATCATACATATTCGGTCTCTTACAAGCACGGCATACTCGATGCAGCAAAATCCTTCGATTCGGCTATCTTTCTATACTTTTACCCAAGTCTTTCAGGTACAGCTGAGCATGATTTGATTGGTTTTTACAGATAGTACATGTTAATGAGCAGCAGCTTACAGATCCCTTCCAAGTATCCAAGACACTCGGTAGCCCGCAAGAGTTATACACTGAGCCTTGATCATGGCGCACTGGGAAAGAGTATCGAAAATGCCTGGCATTTATACAACCATGCTCTGGTACGGAAAAGTAAACTCCCTATATCGCTTAGTTTTTTTGGTCGAGCTTGCCGCAGAAAGTACGATTTTTCCCCTGGTGGAAGATTGCATTTTTGCACATCAGAACGCCACGCTAGGTAGGTTTACCTAGGCGAGACCGAATCAGAAGACAAAGTCCCTTTAGGCGTCAAGTTCGGAGAAGCTCTGCCATGTCCTGTACATGCTCCAATCGGAATACGAAGCTCGGATAATATGCATGTCATGAGAGATACCTGGCATGTCAAAAAAGCAATTCGTTGAAGATGTGCTGCGCCCCCACAAAAACTCTGCTCGATTGTATCCATCCATGGTCCAGCACTTGAGACGAGGAACATGATGCACGAGATCGGAAATAATTATAAATTCTCAAGTCTCGCCCTCAACGGCCGCAGTCACTATCAGTGCCAATACATCACCCCAGACATTCGGGATGACAGGTGCATGCAGACTACTGGTTACCATTATGCGAACCATTTTCTCAGGTCATTTAAGACGCAGCGGGGACCTTCCAAAGCGCCTCATGTCTTACAATCGATGGGTCATGCATAATCGCGCTCTTCTCGCTTGGCGATGTAACTTGATCATGTATGCGGTAATTCTTCACGATCCTGCTGGTACCCGTGTCAGACCATCCACGGCATGCGCGATACGCGGCAGTGGTATCTAACACCGACACTTGACTCGAGCCTGCGGAGCGGAATCATATGAGAAGTTTCGTACACATCTCGAAAGCCAAGTGAATCTGAAAATGAAAAACGCAGTATCCAAATTGATACCACGGCAAATATACTCCAAGGTAGTGAGGACGGTACAGCCCCATTGGACGAGGAACCAACCACGGAAATCAATCACTGCATAGGTTAATTCTTTGCCATTTCATGACCTTGGTAGAGCCAGAATCCGATCAATAGTGTCTTCTTCGAGCCACAGAATATCATATCCTGACCTTGTGTCATCAATCTCCCGATGCTGACTTTCACAGTGGCCAGCTCAATGCCAAAGAATGTTGAATCATCGATCTATCTACTCGCCCACGGACTTATGCCTTAATGGTACATAAGATCCTTGAGTAGCCTCCACTCGGTCACATGGAGTCGTTCCACAACATTACTCTGCTCACAGTCACCAATCACGTAACGATAATGGCTTCTTCCCAGGGTCGCTAAGAGCTTACGACAAGAGGCTATCCGTAGTGGAAAAAGGCCACAACAAACACTGCCATCACGTCGTGTTACGATGTACGCGTGATACGATCACAACATGCCAGAATCTGGGAAGGCACGTTATGCGTTGGGGTTTTCGCGTTACACAACACTCGCCTAGCGGAGTCCATTTGCAAGCTTGGATACCGCCATTGGAGAAACGTGATTATAAACATTTTCACATGTGAAGATGAATATGAAACAACATCAATAATATCACCACGAAGACAGCAAAAACGTTGCGCTAATCGGACCAGTCTTCCATGACTATAACATCTGTGGGTATGAACGATGCCGACAATACAAAGGGCACGACCATTACGGTACATTTGTCTCAATAAGCACTATAAAATGCTTTCATATTTATATACGAGTATAGATGCTTGAAGCCTGCTATTTAACAATCGGAAGTGCTGAGAATCTAAGAGGGAGAATTACTGGTCCCAGTCTACTGCAGTCTTGATGGAGAATAGCTGAGACTGGTGAAACCTCTCGATAGCACCACAATTCACGCTCATGGTTTGCCGATAGTGAAATCATTGGCATTGAGAGATACAATGTGCATCTCAAGTTTTATTACAGCCGGCCACCAACCTCCTCGCCGACATTCGACAAGAATTGCGAGTCAGATCTCGATGAAGTATTTCAATACTTCGATCCGAACGTGGCTCAAAAAATCAAAACAGGAGATGAGTCATCAGGTCGACCCACGAAATCAACGATTAGACCACATTTTGCAGCTCAAGCTCAACCGACCCCTTAAGTGAAGTGTCCATCAAATGGAAGCAGTGAGTCACAAGGAACTACACATGTTCATTCATTTGACACCAATCTAGTAGGATCGTACTGATCTGTATCTTTGAAATTCAGCACAAAGGCCAAGTTGTCGATACCGCTGCCTTGCACAAAAAAGGAAGATACCGCACGATCATTGCGCTACGCATCTGCTTTGAACCACTCTCTACTCATTCCAATCCTCCTTTGAACCAGGAAGCTAACTCTGGCATCACTGTTTAACAATGACCTGATCTGCTAGACCTCTAGTCGCACAAATGCGTCAGTGAAAAAATATCCAACATATAATTACCGATGCATTACTACGATATAGTCCAGAAACCGAGACTGTTATCGGTCAGAAAAGCTACATATTGGAAGTAGTACACGAGCAGGAGCAGAAAAGAGAGAATCAAACACGAATCGTCATTCTATACATGAGGCAATGCGATGTAACATAGACGAACAAGCCGAATTTATTGCCGTCAAAGTCCCAGAAGACATATCAAAACAAAGCCGGGGTGTGCGATATGCCTGTCTTCGATAATTATAGGGAGGGCATCTGATTTCAGAGTTATAGTGCGCTTTTGACTCAGGATAATAAATATAAGGCTTTGTGCGGGTGAGACTTATAGGTAAGCAAGGTATAGGTATGTATCTTTTAATATTAACTGGTGCAGAAAGGATCGTCATTTGGACTTGGATGAGTGGAGTGTTGGCATTTGTGCAGTGGTACCTAGGGGGAAATATAGTAATACATAGTAGAGCCAGTTCGCCTATTGTAGAATGAGATTGAAGATCGGATTTAGAAAAAGTTGACGAAAGTATGGGATTTCTACTCAACCCTACAATGCCTTTTCCCCTTGACACTGAAATATGCTTTCATGCTACTAATAATTAAGATTGAGTGTGAACTGCGGCATGTGTGGTAAGTTAGAGTTCCCCTGATACTTCCGAAGCCGCACGGACGCTCGGAAAAATCGTCACCTCATCGCCGGAGCTGCCAACATGGAAACGCCCTCCCAACACCCGCCGACACCTCCCCCTCCATCGCCGTGAAGCCATCTCCGCTCCTTGATCCGCATCAGCCATGTCTCTCGCCGCATCACGTGCCGTCCTGCGGCAATCAAACTTCATCGTGCGCCGCGCGGGCATCCGCAATGCCTCGTCAACATCAGAAGCCGGTGGCGCTGTAAAGGACAAGGCCGGCCAGGCCGCATCCAAAGCATCAGAGGGGCTTTCCAAGGTCACAAGCTCGGCCAGCCAGGTGGCGTCGAGTGCTGCTGCGTCGGCGAACAATGCAGCTAATGCGACAACGGGGCGTGTGGGCAAGATGGTGGGTTTTATACAAGGTTAGTGGCACGTGTTCTGGACGGCTGAGAAGAGGGAAAATGCTGGTCAGCAGGACTGGACGAAAGAGAAAACTGGAAGAATGGGTGTGGTGGGCTCAATGGCTGGTCTATGGGGCTCTGTGTAGCTTATCAGACGAGTGATTGCTCCACACAATCTGTTTCCCATAATGTCCAGGGGAGCGAGGGACATGATCATTGAAAGAAAAAGAGGAAACCATCATATACTGACTACCACGCCTGCAGGAATCATCCCCACGGCCACATACTATTCAAAAGTCGGTCTCGAGCTCGGCAAGCTCATTGCACACCAGCGCGCCATGGCACCACCGTAAGCATCTCTGTCTTTCGATATGACAAGCATCTATCCGCAAAAAGACACACAGCTAACGCTGCACCAGATCTGTCCAGACAATGCAAAGCTACATGCAACCCGCCCTCAACGCCCTCAAGAACCCCAGCTCCCTCCTGAACCGCGCCGCCACCGAGGCCAACAACGCCGCCCAGCAACCCGCCAACCTCCTCGCCCAAGTCCGGAACTTGTCTCGAGAGCAATGGATATCTGCCGGTGTTGTCGCTGCTGAGGTCATTGGCTTCTTTTCGGTCGGTGAGATCATTGGCAGGTTCAAGCTCGTGGGCTACAGGTCCAAGGAAGATACGAACCACTAAATGCATCATGGCAGTCGAGTGAGTGACGGCGCGCAGAGAGAAGGAAGACAATAGCAAAAGACATTATGTATTCCAACTCGAGAAAATGATTAGTTTGAAGGCAGGATGGACGGAGTAAGGAGGGCTGTACGATTTCAAGGGCTGGCTGGGGTGTAATCCGGGCAACGATGCACACTGACTGATTGTACTGTGCACCTTTGAATGATTGGAGGAGACCTACACTGTACTATTGCACATAGCTCTGATTTAGATTTTCTGTTCACATGTGCAATTATGTTGTTCGCCATGGTCAATGCATGCTACCTACGTTATTCGCTTATATTTAGAAAGCTCATCCCTGGTGGAGAGAAAGTGAACAAACCAATATCGGCGCTACTAATCGCCGGGTCGCCGGTGCCCAATCTTTTTTTGTACGAGATGTCCAAACTTTTGCGACACCAACGAAGACTGCGTTAAGGTGACGCAGAACCTGTTAAATTACCTTTTTTTCTCCCTATGGCCTGCAACTTCTCTGCACAATTATGAACGTCTTCAAACTCCTCTCGCGGTCCTCGAACGCCCTGCCACAGAGCTCTTCTACGCAGAAGCTTCCTTCTTCCGGCGCAGTCGCCAACCCGCAACTGTTTGGCCATGATGAGGCTGCACAGGCACCACACACTTCGAAGACGAGTCGGAAGCGGAAAAGGGGGCAGCAAGCTGTAGAGAGTGGTGAAGAGGAGTCTGCAGCCTTGCCTGCTGATCTCGACTTTTTTGGAGAGGGCTCGGACGCTGTTGTTGGAGAAGGCCTGTCGAAGAAGGAAAAGAAGAAGAAGCAGAGGCAGCTAGAGAAGAAGGAAGCGGCCGAGGCGGAGGCGTCGCAACATGGCACAGAGGCTGTTGCAGGCGACGAGGAGGATTCATATGATCTGGATGAGGCGAGGAGAGTACTGCACTCGCACAAGTTGAAAGTCCATGTGCTGGAAGACTTTGCGCCACCCGTCGAGGAGTCTCTCACAAAAGACAAGAAGAAGTCTAAGAAGCGGAAGAAGGAAAAGGAAGTATTCAAGGAGAAGAAGAAGGATGCGAAGAAGCCCTTGTTTCCCCAACCGTTGACTTCCTTTGCACAGTTGCGGACCCGATATGGCATTTCGAGACGCTTGGCGGAGAATATCATGGAGCAGGGATATAAGCTACCTACAGAGGTACAATTGGGTGCTTTGCCGCTGCTGTTAGCTCAGAAAGGAGCAAAGGGTGGTGACGACCAGTCCGGCGCGCAGTATGCTGGGGATATCGACCTCTTGACCGTTGCACCTACGGGCAGCGGGAAAACCATCGCCTTCTTGATTCCCATCATCAATGCACTTCTTGCCAAAGGCAAACCCGCAGAGGGAGAGGAGGGGCCGCGTGCTGTTGTACTTGCGCCGACGAGAGAGCTTGCGTCCCAGATCGTCAATGAGGCGAGGAAGTTGGCAAAGGGCACGGCGATCAAGGCGACGCTGATGAGGAAGGGCATGGAGGTCGTGAAAAGGGACGAAGAGACTGAGCAGCTTGAAGCACACGAGTCGCCTGAAAACTCAGAGGATGACGGGGAAGTGTCCGATTTCGATGCCGAGGACAAAACTTTAACCAAGAAGAAGCAAACGACAATTCGAGCTGAACGAGTAAAAGCTGCCATTCTCGTCGCCACACCGCTCGCTCTGCTCAACGCACTAAAACGCAAAGATGGTACCATTGCCAACTTACCCACAGTCTCCCAACTCGTCCTCGACGAAGCAGACGTCCTTCTCGACCCCCTCTTCCGCGACCAAACCCTCGCTATCTGGAACGCCTGTACAAACCCAAGACTACGCATGGGTCTCTGGTCCGCAACAATGGGCTCCAACATTGAGACGCTCACGATCTCTACTTTAAACACTCGGTGGTCATCCCTCACTTCATCACAATCCACCACCCAGCCCCGACCCCCCCTACTCCGCCTCGTCGTCGGCCTCAAAGACTCCGCCATCCCAAACATATCCCATCAACTCATCTACGCCGCCACCGAATCCGGTAAACTCCTCGGCCTCCGCCAACTCCTCCATCCCACCTCCTCCGCCCCCTCCACCACCTCAGAAACCGCAACGCTCCGTCCCCCCTTCTTAGTCTTCACCCAAACTATCCCCCGCGCAATCGCCCTTCACAGCGAATTGCTCTACGATATTCCCCCGGAAGCCGGCGGTTCCTCGCGCATCGCTGTCCTCCATGCTGATCTCAGCTCCTCGGCTCGCGACAGCATCATGACGCGTTTCCGCCGCGGCGAAATCTGGGTCCTCATCGCCACCGACCTGCTCGCCCGTGGCGTCGACTTCCGCGGCCTCAACGGCGTGGTCAATTACGACGTGCCCACCTCGGCCGCCGGCTACGTTCACCGTGTTGGTCGGACGGGGCGAGCGGGGCGCGAGGGCGGCGTCGCGGTGACGTATTATACCAAGGAGGATATTCCGTACGTCAAACTCATTGCGAATGTGATTCGCGCGAGTGAGCGGCTTCGGGGTGTGGGCGAGGGCGAAGGCGCCGTCAAGCAGTGGTTGTTGGATGCGTTGCCTACGCCCTCGAAGAGGGATAGACAGCAGCTTAAGAGACGTGGGGTCGAGGCTAGACGGACGGTCAAGGGCGTGGATGGGGCAAAGGGCAAGGGGAAAGGCGGTAAGGCGCGGATTAGTACGAAGAGTGGGTATGTGAGGAAGATTGAGAATAATAGACGGGGGGCTGTGGAGGCGAGTCGGAGGAGGGAGAGGGAGGACAAAGAACAGGGGAGTGAGGATGGCGCGTTTGAGGGGTTTGAGTAAAAGGGGTGTTGTTGGTCTTGAGTAGTGGGTGGTGATGAAGGTATGAATTGCATAGCTACACCCAGCGAGCCCTCTGTTTCCATTGTCGAACTCCAAACAAGCATCTCTCCAAATAACGACAAGAACAGCAACAACAACGAGCTACCAACTATCCCCATCCATCAACCGGCTCCTCTTCCTCTTCTTCTCCTCGCCCAACCTCTCCCCCTTGATCAAGAAGTTCAACTTGCGAATCTCCGTCCACCTACTCAACCCGCCCAACTCCAACACATTCATCCTCCTCATCTTGCCACTCGGATTCCCAATCACCACAGCCTTCCAATCGTCCTTCCGCCCCACCTTTTCCAAATCCTTGAACGCCTGCCACGCCGCCGTGTCCCGCCGCGTGCCAAACGTGTGGTTGGGAATGACTTGGATCTGGCGAAAGCGTAGGAGTACGAGGGTGAGCAACAGCGTGAGACCGAAGAGGATACCCGCCGTGACACCCGTCGACGCCTGGGCGCCCAATCTCCTGGTCATGGAACCTCCGACTGCCGTAGCAACGGCGGCGCCGATGAAGGCGAGTATCTGCGACACGAAGATGCCGGCGGTCACGCGGGGAAAGGACGAGTAATTCGTTCGTCGCCGCTTGTCCTGCACCGCCATGGATTGAAACCGATGTCGCGTATTGACTCCCGGTTGTAAATCACACGTGTCAAACGTCTCCATGATCAACCCGTTACACTCCGCAATCGCGAGCACGCTGAGGAACCCGACGGCGCCTGCAAAGGCAATGGGCACGGCGACGGGGCGCGGCGCACCGGTCGAAGACACAGTGTACGCGAGACCCATGAGTGGGAGCGCGGTGGTGAAGAGCGTGCGGCGGACGAGGTGCGAGGACCACGAGACCTGGCGCTGAAAGGTCATGCTGTCTGTGCGAAATGCTTTTTTGCGGTCGCGCGAGAAGATGCCGGCTTTTGTGAGGGGAATGGCCAGCAAGGCGCCCAGGGCAATCGACAGGACGCCCAGTCCGACAAAGCGAGGCTGCCACTTGTAGTTTCGCGAGAGCAAGGCACCGAGCAGGATGATGACGAGCACGATTTGCGCGTATATCCATGCGAGATAGAAGGCGAGGATTAGGAAGCCGGGTTGACTGCACATGAGGCCCATGAGTCTGATGCCGGCCCCGACTTCTTCAAACCAGTACGCTGGGCCCTGGGTAGAAATGTGCAACTTGACTTCTCCCCGCTCAACACGGCGCGTGATGTAATTCTCATCGCGGTCGTACACCTCCGTCACTGCTTTGCGATGCGGAGCCCGCCGCGTCTCCGGCGCCATGATATTCAGCACCAGCGCCGCAGCCAGGATAATCACGACAACGTAGAAGCCCCAGTCCGGGCTCAAGTCCTCGATGATCGCGGCCCCGATCTGGAAGCCCACGGCTAGAGAACCGATCCAGCACCACGACCAGATACCGAGCCACATGCCCATTCCGCCACCGTGTCTGCGCACATCGTTGGCCACGACGTATTCTTGGTGCGGGTTCTTGCTCTGCAGGGATGCGCCGAACAGGTCGAGGAGCACGGTGATGTAGTTTACATTTGCGAAGCCGAGGACAAGGCCGGACGCTGCGCGGGCACAGAGTAGGCCGATGCGGAAGATGGGACGGGTAGGTGAGCGACGAGCGCTGACGACAATGGCCTGTGGAAACTGTAGGGGAAGGGCAATTGCGAGGGCGGCGAGCATATAAGGTTTTCGGCCGTGGAGAAGCGGTAGCGGCCAGGCGATGAGTGTAGAGATTGCGAGGCCAAAGTAGAGAACAATGTTGCCTACAATAGAGATGTGGCGTTCATCTGCGAGATAGTATTGTATTCGAGGGACTTCGCCGGCATAGACGCCGATGATGATGCCGAGGAGGGCGGTGTTGATACATGCGATTGTTGCGGTGATGCGTTTCTTGCCTGTCGACCAGTTTCGCGCAATGGGCTGTCGTCGATGCTGGCGGCGGAGACTGAATGTATGGCGATGTGCTGAGTCGTGGACTGTGAGTTCACTCTTGGAGTGTTGTACCGGCTCGTCTTCCTCGTCGAAGGAGCTTTTGCTTTGACTGGAGTCTGAGATTCGCAGCTTTCTATTTCTTGAGCGCGATGGTGATTGATCGCTTTCGTAGCTGCTCCGATGATGGCGTTGACGGGGGCGACGAGTAGAGTCGTCTGTGACTCGTCGACGGGAACGGCCGCGAGATTGGGGGTGGGAAGGGGATTGGGAATTGTCTCGGGCTCTTGGTCGCAGGACAATATCCGTATGATTTCGTGCTGTTGTTTGGGCGGTAGGCGGCGGTATCAGTAGGTTGCTTGCCGTAGTATAGGTCAAGTGGTGTTGATCATCAATATCATCACTCGAGGATAGGGACGCAGCCGGTGATACGTCATCAAGAACCAGTGTTTTCGAATACGCCCAATCTCGTGATGCTGTATTCTTTTGCTGACTGGAATGAGGTGGCGAAGATGGAGAATCTTCGACAAGTGGCACGGGAGGTGGTGGTCTCCTGGGATCAGCAGGTCTCCGAGGATCATGAGAGTGCCCTGAAAAGCTCTCTGAGTATCCTTCTGCAACGGTAGAAGATCGGGACAATGTCAATGATGGAGCATTGTTTGTAAGCAGCCTAGTGCGGTCGCCAGACGCGTCTTGTACGGCGTTCTTTGCCTCCTTAATGATGTCGTATATTTCCTCTACTTGACCATGATCTGCAGTTTCATCTGCGATTTCCACAGCCTCTTGTACCATGTCTTCCAAGTCCTCCACAGCGTTGCTGATCCGTCGGTCACGGATACGCTCAAACGTAGTTCGTCCTGGTGCTGGTTGTGTAGGTGACATCTGAACGTGTGAGACTGTTGGAGTAGCCGGAGTGATCGTAATGACATGTTCTGACGGGGACTCAAACACGTCCGTTGTATCAGATTCCTCAAGATGGTCTACAACAGACACAAGACTTCCTGCCTGTAGTGAATTATTTACCTGCTCACTGTCATTATGTCGCGTTAATAAGCGTCTCTTTTGGGGGGACTGCATTGATTTGGATGTACGACGGATCGTACCCGGAAGGGATGGGGTTTTAGGTGCAGTCGAAGAAAGCCGGATGTGTGACGTCTTATGGCGTGTGGCCGGTGAAGGGCTGCTATCAACTGCGGATGGCTTAGGAACATCTTTGATAAAAACTGCAGGCTTTCGTTTGACAGTTGAAGTAACAGTCGTGACGCGCTTTGGAACCACTGCAATAGAGGATTTGCGACTAGTTGGACGTGCACTAGGAGAGAGAGAATCCAGTTCGCTTGTCTGGCCATCTAGAGGCACCGAAGGAGCTGCTCTTGGTGGTCTGTTGTCCAGCCAGGGGAGCCGCTTGGCCGTTGACAGTGAGGTGACTTTCTTCGGTAAGGCTTGAGCCCGGATCGATCGTGTACCACTCCTCTCAGAGCCATCATTACCAGCATCCACCATTTCCGACAACGCGCGATGTCACCAGAACTGGATTGGGGTGCCAGCGATTAGGTCCAGATTGTGATGATGTATGTCATTTGCGACCCAACGCAAGATCGTATAGCTTATTGATATCCGATGCGACAGAGGATCGAGTGAAGGATCGCGTTGGACGACGGAGGTGAGGGGCTATAGAGTTGGGAGAAAACGACCAGCTTTGAAGACTTGCACACAAGTGCAAGGGCGGTAGGATTTGAGATAGGAGAGGAAGCTGGCCGGGGCGAGAAAAGGGGCGAGAAAAGGATGGGGGCCACAAAAGGTGGTGAGTGACATCGAGGTCGGACGGGTAATTGAAAACCTTTGTCTCCAGTGAATTCTACAGTTGCTCCTTCCCTGCAGGGCTTGTGACGAACTATTTCGGTCGAGGGCAGTTCAAGCTGCACTTGCCCTGAGAGCTTAATCACAATTACCATAGCAGCGACCACGCCAATGTGAGGAGAACATTGAATACTCTGTCTCGAATGCACACTCAGCTGGATCGAATAGCCATGTCCAATTCACGACAGTCCGCAAGAAAATTTGATATGAGACCTACCTCTACACTGCTATCACTGGCGAAGAATGGAGAATATTGAATTCATGGCGTTTTTTTTTTCATGGAAAAGCAGATGCTTATCATTTGGTGGCACAATCTGCTACGCTGCAACTGCTTGTAGTACTGTAGCAGTCATTGCAAGCACCTTCTCCTCTTCAAGTCTTTGCGCAATGAGCCTATCGCAAATTAGTCTTGACCCCTTGGACAAAGGACATCGCGATACTTACTGTAGATTGACAGGAAGTCCATGCAACAATTCCGCATCGTCTGGGTCATGTTAGCCTACAGATCACAACACGTTAACCATGGCTCTGCGTGACTTACAGCTTTCACGAGTGCTGTGGCAGATGTCGCCCTGAGGCTTGTCATCAGGGTCGTATGCATCTTTGCTCTTGTCGACGAAGACTCCACTGGGGAAAGATGTTGCGGCGTAGTCTACAACGTTGAAAACTCCGGTATACCCGACATACTTGAAGTGGCCATGGGGCACAGTCGAGTAAGGTGTCGTAGGTGCTATGTCAAATCAGAAAGTGGCTCCTATCAATGGGTTGGTCTACCTACCCAAGATGGCGTCAAGACCATGCGACATCCATTGCTCTAGGTATTGGCGTTGAAGTTCGGACTTTTCAATGTGCAGCTGCCACATGTCGTACGTGCCTAGCTCTTTGGCATCTGCATAAGGTTGCATCTCAGGCCGGAATGGCTCCTTTGTTGGAGCAAGCAGCGTCTCCACACTTTTACCGCCATCTGCGACAAACATACGAGCCTGTTGAGGTGAGCGTCAAGTACAAAGCATAGCGAAAGTCGACTTACTAAAATCGAAATTGCCGATTCATGAAGCTTGGGATCCCAGTCGATTATCTCGTGGCCCGCATTCTTCAGCTTCTCTGAAGTTTCCTTCAAGGCTCGCGTGACTGGAGGAGTTGGCCGACAAATGCCGTCGTTCCACAATACCGCAATTTTGAGCTTCTTTGGCGGCTCTACCGGTCGCCATGGTATTGGAAGTAATTTTGGGTCTACTTTCCATAGTTGGGAATCAATAATAGCCTTTGAATATAATATGATGTCGTCGAGTGTCTTAGCCATTGGACCATTGACGCTCTGTATTGCTTCCTGTCCGGCCAAACCAGATCTACACCGCTGTGTCGAGAAGCGTCCTGACGATGGGCGAAGGGTAAAAATGCCAGTGCATGCTGCTGGGATACGCAAACTACCACCCTAAGTCAAGGTTAACAAGGCATTTTCGGGTTATGCGCGGAGTTCACGAACAATATCAGTTCCTACGCCTAATGGACTGCCACCGAAGGCTATCAGGGCTGCTTCCCCACCCGAAGATCCGCCAGGAGTTGTCTTGCGGTTCAGTGGATTTAACGTTCGTCCAAAGGTGTTGTTCACGCTCTCTGCCTAACCCTGATAAGTACTTGTTCAGGAGATGATTTCGGACGGTTACCTACAATCATCATGGCTGTAGGCACGTTGGTCTTGCAATAGCGTACTGCTCCGAGCTTCTCCAGGGTATCAACCAAGGTGGCATTATACTCTGCAGGCTTGTTGACGAGCGAGGTAAATCCTACTGTACTGTCTTTACCCTTGATGTTGAAATTATCTTTGAGGGAGATAGGTAGCCCGTGAAGGGGCCCCACCGGCTGGCCCGTCTGCTGAAGATGGTGATCGAGAGATTTGGCCTGTTGGATTGCTTCCTCAAAGAAGATGTCGCTCAGACAATTCGTCTATGAAGTTGTCAATTCAACGATTGCTCGAGGGAAGGAAGACTGTATCTTCGCACCAATTGCTGAGCTGCTGCAGCGCGCTTGCAGAAGGCGCGTGTGACCTCTTCCGAAGTCCATGTCTTGGATGCAATCTGCTTCACAAGCTGTGATGCAGTACTGTTTGTGATGTCCAACTCCTTGGAAGAGAACCAGCCCGACTCTTGTGGCCAAGTTGTGAGATCGTGTTGTGATTCCGAGGGGAGTTTGTCCCGAGGGAGGCGATATTCGGCCGGAAGTAGTTCCGCGAGGGCTGCCCGTTTTGCCTTGCCGACTTCCTCCCACTCTTGTCCCGAGCTTGCCATCTTTTCTCAGTGCGACGACGACGACGATGATGATGATGATGGGACAACAGACAATGAGGACAATTTTGGTGACAATGAATGTCAAGGGCCAGCATCCAGCATCATCTTCGTTGCCCATGTACTTATGTATCCCATGTTTCTCGCTACCAAACCATTGCCGCCACCTGCATCACCCTCCGCCTCCGATGCCGACGGGCGCTCCCTCCCCTCCCCACCTTCGGCTCATGTGCACCGCGGTCTACTCCTAGGACTCCATGCAATTCCACTGTTGGCGTCTGTTATCAAAGATCCCCGCAGTTGCTGATGCCCCGAGGCAAAGGCTAAGCTACGACTAGACGCGAGACGACTGCCTGTACATCCGGCTTTGGTGAGTTTCAAGCGTCCCTTTCCCCTTTTCTGCCGTCTTGATGGTCGAATACGATGACCGATACCGGCCCTTCGCTACATGCCCGAGGCGTGGTCGTGGGATCTGCATGTAAAGATACTGACAACGTAGCTGGCGAGTCAGCCATAAGTGGCATACCGGTACTATCTTCGGCAACTCGTGTGCATGCTTGGCTACAAGATTGTATTCACCACATAGTCCTCGTTCGCCCATAAGAATACATGGGCGTAGACGGTAGATCGTGTTGTCCTGTTTCAACGCCACAGAACACACACATTACCGCCTCGATTTCTGCACGTGGCCCAAAAGATCCATGCCAGAAGCCTCAAGATGGCAAATGATTTTCTTCAGTACCTTCGCGGCGAGCAAAGAGCACCTGGAGAGCGTAAGCTTATACAGAAGCTTGATTTCTTCATCTTGACATTTTGTTGTCTAATGTACTTTGTCAATTACTTAGGTAGGCCTACCCGGACGCATCATGCGTCTGCGTATGCTTACTGACAGTTGGCTAGATCGAACGAATCTTAACAATGCTTATGTTTCCGGCATGAGAGAAGAGCTAGATTTCAAGGGTAATCAGCTCAACCAGATCAACACCGTCTTTACCGTCGGTTACACCATTGGCCAAGTGCCATGTAATATTGCGCTTTACTACATCAAACCACGCTACTTCTTTCCATCGTGCATGGTAAGTTTACCAGACAGCTCTTCCGCTAAAGGCCCTAATCATTGGCAGATTGCGTGGGGATGCTTGACGATGGTGACCGCGGCTGCGCAAAAACCTCAAGATATCATGGCGATTCGCTTCTTCCAGGCGATCTTCGAGTCTTCAACCTTCGTGGGGACCCACTACATCCTAGGTTCATGGTACACCGGAAAGGAACTTGGCAAGCGATCCGGCATATTCACTGCGTCTGGACTCGCTGGAACCATGATTGGTGGTTTCATACAGACTGGAATTCACTCTAGTATGAATGGCCTCCATGGTCTCTCGGGCTGGCGATATCTGTTCATAGTCGACGGGATAATCACGTTGCCGGTGGCTCTCTACGGATTCTTGCTTTTCCCTGATACGCCGAAGAATACAAGAGCGCCATATCTGACGGCACAGGAGAAAGCTTTGGCTGTTTCGCGGGTACCGGAAGTGTCCGAGAAGACACCAATCTCCTGGAACTTTTTGAAATACTGCTTCTCCACTTGGTATTGGTACTTCTTTGTCATTCTCTGGATACTTGCTGGAGAAACAGAATCGTTCAGTACCAACGCACTTTTGCAGTTGTACATGAAGTCACATCCCACTAACAAGTATTCGATCTCGCAAGTCAACAACTATCCGACAGGAGTACCGGCTGCAGGCATTGTTTCGACCCTGTTCTGGGCAACACTCACCGACTATCTGGGAGGTAAACGCTATCTTGGTATGACTATTATTCGCTTTGCTTTGCGTGATTGCTGACGCATATGCAGTAGGATACTGGATTGGCATAACGGGTGTGGTCACAAGCGCATTGATTCTGGCATATCCTGACAGCACACCCATACATTTCGCCATGTACTACTGGGCAGGTAGCGTATACGCCTGTCAGGCAACGTTTTTTGCATGGGCGAACGATGTTCTTCGCTACGAAGAGGACAGTTTACGTGCTGTAGTCATCGCTAGCATGAATATGGGAAGTAACGCGATCAACGCATGGTGGAGCATCGTGTTCTATGGTGCCAATTTCGCACCATATTTCACGCGGGGAATGTGGGCAATGATCGCTGTTAGCATTGCGATGGCCGTCTGGACAGGCTTACTCGTGTGGATGCATGTCCGCACCGAGAAGAGGAGGGAGTCGGAGACCGAACAATCCACGGTGGCTAGAAAGGGGCGCTCCGAACAGGACCAAGATCCGGAAACCAACTACTGGGCAAAGTCATGATGTCTTCACCGCTAGGTGGACAGTAATCGCGTTGAGCCGGTGTTTTGCATACAGGTTTCATTGTCCATACCATCACCGGTGAAGGACCGGTGTGGGGAGGTTAGTGTTCGGTATAATACGGATGTGCGTCACTTCCGATGAATACGCTTATCCAGATCTCACTTTTAAAAAGGACGCTCTCGAAGATTCACCAATGCTTGTCATGAAATCGGCTCGTAGTGACCAGCCCCACTCGGTACCGCAGTCCTGTCCAGCCACTCTGCTCGCATTTGTTTCCTCCTAGGACTCAGACGATTCCACAGCAAGTTGTACTTGCCAATGAAAGAACTGGGAAGTCTAAAGAAAACTATCAGTACATGCGCTAGTCGTGGTCAATATATGAAAATATCCGAGTGGTACATGTATTTCAAGAAAGAGAACACCGTTGCAACTTACAGTGGCTTGTGAACTTGGTTGTTTCCAGCCACCCTTTTCCTTTCATCTTCCACGGATCTCGCGCCAGAACATATTCTGCGATCCTCTAGTGTTACGAGCACTGGGCCTTCTGCGGTGTCTGGATCGGCGCTTATCCGGTCCAGGGCGTGATGAATCTCCGATATTACCAAACCATGATGGTGATCTGATCAAGGTAACTGACCGAGACGAACATGACGAACATCAGTATTGAGCGTTTCAAATCGGAGCTCGAAATTCGATCGGCCGGACGGCAGTGACTAGCTCGCTGGCTGCTTTTAATGGAGGAAGCCCTCAACCTCAATCGGCAATCTCGAAAAGCACGGAGGCTCGGTACTGTATTTTCGTCCGACAATCCTCAGACCATTTCCACATCTTACGTGTATATCCACAACCAGCGTTTTACTTTTGTCTACGAGACAGGATCCAGGGTCCGTCTGGTCAATCTGCGGCAGGGATGCCCATCTCTCGTGGCAACATCATCAACCATCTGTACACGAACACGAAGCGAGATCGGCCCACAGCGATCCTAGATTAGATCACGGATACAAGCAACTACCTTACCTCTGTGTAGACTACTTCCAAGATTACTGGCCCTCTGGACTCCTCGGAACAAGCCTAGCGCACAATGTACTTGGTTGGCCCCAGCTCCCGCCTTACTCCCAGCCATCTTGACTAGGAAATGCATGCTTCTTTCGCGACAATCCCCATGCTCTCACCAGAATCTCCTCTTTTGTTCCTGTGTCAGACGGTCTTTGAAGACGTCATGGCTGCATTCACTCTCGTTCGATCTTGACTCCCTGCATGTTGTGCCCACCGTTTGCTGTCATCAGCGAATGAAGTCTTGCGCCGCAAAGGAATTAGTTACTGAACGGCCCCATGGGTATACGCAGACGAACCGAATAAGGTATGACGAGAGCGTGGATGCGGTTTTCAGGGTCTTTGAGTTTGCCCACGAGGCTGGCAATGGCCTATATCAACGGTCGAGTCCCCAACGGTCAACCTCGTTATTACCTTTGCCGATCGCACGCTGTTTCATCTGAGGAACTTAATACATTAGCTAGCTCAAAGGGTTTGTCCTCCACTGAGCCTCCAAGCCTTTACGACCTCAGCTGCGAGTCTACATTTCTTTCACGGCAGGATATATACTATAAAGCCTCCATCCTCCCTTGCCTCGGTTGCACCCCACAGCACACCCACCAATATGGCGCAAGATAATCCCAATCTTCCTCAATTTTACACCCAGAACCCTTATGATGGCACTCCTTACGACGAGTCTCCCGGTGCTCAAACACTAGGTGGTCCATCGCCAGGTGCTCAATCCGGAGGTGGCTTATCCCCCGGGGGCCCATCGCCAGGCGGTCCACCACATAGACATGGATCAACTGATTCCAGGCACGAATTGCTTCGCCTACCTATCCAACCAAACCCTGCGCACATTGACTCCAATCAGGACTCTATACCACCAACCCAACCAGCCACTCAACCAAACATTGCGTCAAAATCGTCGAGTGTCCGGAGAACGACGGGACAGGCTGACCCAAACGACTGGTATAATGCTGCTGTGCGAGCTTACAACGCACCTGAAGAAACTCCTAGCCGTATGAGGAAGCCATCACGGCAATTTCATAATGCTCCACCGCCTACCCCACCACAGCACCGCCCCGTCTACGTGGAAGACGACTACTCAGACGAGGAAGACGAGCCTCGAGTCTACCGTTCTCGCTACACCAGGCCACACCGACGTCCCCCTGTCACATATGAGAACTATTACGACTTCAACTCTCGTTATGGGCCTATTCCCACACGAAAAAGAAGCATTATAGATCCGTATTCTGATCTGCCATCGAAACCTCAATATCACATGCACTATGGCAGCGATGATGAGGAGCGCTACAAACCGCGCCGTCCTGGTATGCCCGGAGCAGCAGGCGGAAGAGGACCACCTTCACCGCCGGTATCTAGGGAAGCAGCCTTGAGACTGCCGTGGGCAGTGTGGATGGGATCAAATGCTAAGAACCGTAAGCCGCTCCAACCCATTCCAACCCACATCTATGATACTGACAAACAACAGACTTTGTAGCCTTTGTCGGCGAGTTCGTGGGCACAACCATGTTCCTCTTCTTCTCCTTCAGCGGCACCCAAGTTGCAAACATTGGCTCCTCGGCCGCTAGCTCGGACAACACGACAACGGGTGAATCCTCGGGCTTCTCGCCCATCGTCCTGCTCTACATTGCCCTCGTCTTCGCCTTCTCCCTCATGGTCAACGTCTGGGTCTTCTTCCGCATCTCGGGAGGCCTGTTCAACCCGGCCGTCACGTTTGCCATGTTGCTATGCCGCGCCATGAGTCCTCTGCGCGGCTTTCTCCTGCTTGCGGCGCAGATATCCGGAAGCATTTTTGCAAGTTACTTGGTGAGCGTGTTGTTCCCGACCAACTTCAATGTGCGCACGACGTTGGGTGAGGGCACGAGTTTGGCACGTGGGTTCTTTATAGAAATGGTGCTTACGGCGGAGTTGGTCTTTACGATTTTCATGCTGGCAAAGGAGAAACATAAGGGTATGTCTTCCTCCTCTTCCACCTCTTCCTCCTCTTGCTCCTCATCCACCACTTCCTCCTCTTCCTCCTCTTCCTCCTCTTCCTCCTCTTCCTCCTCTTCCTCCTCTTCCTCCTCTTCCTCCTCTTCCTCCTCCTTTCCCTTCTTCCTCCTCCTTTCCCTTCTCCACACCACCCAAACCCCACTAACCCCCCACACCAGCAACCTTCATCGCCCCCGTCGGCATCGGCCTCGCCCTCTTCATCGGCGAACTCGTCGGCGTCTACTACACAGGCGGCTCGCTCAACCCCGCGCGCTCCTTCGGCCCCTGCGTCGTAACCGGCATCTGGGACCAAGAGCACTGGATCTACTGGATCGGCCCCGGCGCGGGCGCCATCTTCGCAGTCGGCTTCTACCAGTTCATCAAGATCCTCGAGTACGAGGTGGCGAACCCGGGCCAGGATGACGACGACAAGGATCAGGAAATCAAGCAGGAGAGTGCGCAGAAGGAGAATGTGGATCCAGAGAGCTTGGAGCCGGTTGGGCCGCGCAAGAAGAAGTCGCACTCGATTGAGGCGAATGGGTTTGGGGATGGGAGGGTTGGGGGGTAGGAATCAGAGGGGGGAGGGAGAGGTGTAAGGGTTGAGTATATGAGATGATGAAGCAAAGAATTAAAAAAAGAGAACGACACGGAAAAGTTTGATTTACGGTGATATGACTGGATGAGGTGGTATTATATTTTAGACCGGATGAGGTTGGACCCGCGAGATATTTTGGTTTTCAGAAGCTTGGACGGAATAGCTACGAAGTGGTATTTGTTTCTTGCTATTCGAGATGCCTTGTTTAGACTGCGTTATGAATCTCCTCACATAAATGTACGAATATAAAAAGTAGTATGCATTAGATCTCCTCACCGAGTAGAATTGAGTCGTTAAAGACTCGTAGTGATGTGGGGGGAGGAAAAGTGACCGCGTGAGAGGCATGTGAACTTTGTTCGCAGTCATCGGAGCAATTTATGTTGGTATCACCCAGTTCCCTACGATACGCAACAGCCCGCTATTTGCGTGGACATTGACGTCGTGTGTTTCCAGGACACCACCATCATCCCGATATACACGTAATCCCTTCCCTACATCGCCCATCACCAGACTCACAATCACACGACAAGCACAAAGACGCACAAGTCTCGAGAAGTCGCTAGAGCAGAACAATACAAACCATGTATGAATCCTACAGACCGAGTCGAAAGAAGAAACAACAAAGGAGAAATCCCACAGTATAGAGTGTAACACCATCCCGGCCAGCGAGACCTTCTTGCGTCATCGACGTCTTTCGACGTTGTGTTGGGTTTCATAACTATGAGCTCGGTATTTCTTTGACGGGCTGGGCATAGCATGGCAGATTGGGGTAATGGAAATAATAGCCGTCTGCTACATCCTACACACATGAACGCACTGCCGTGCCGTGACAAACACAAAGCGACGAGTATTCGCAGAAACGAAAACAAAAAACGAAACAAAAACCCCTTGCTGTTTGCATGCAGACTTCTGCATATTGTACCCCAAAAAACGCCGGGGGTGAAATTTGACAAGATTGAAAAAGACAGATGCTCGCTGAAATGCCCCGAGGAACGAGGAAAAAAAACAATATACACTGGGTGCGAGAAAGAAGGTCATGGGATTTGAAATCAAGCAGATAGGAAAAGGCTACCTCAGCCGCGGCCACTCATCTCCTCTAATCTCGCTCATCGCGTATCCTGGCCGCCACGCAGGATGGATATCACTAACACCCGAGTGACTCTCAAGATTCACCGTACTGCGCGGTGCAGCCTCAACCACGTAGCTCACGCCGTCCTCTGAGACATAAGACGGCGGCCTCGGACCATGGGTCGCAGGCTGGGTATGCGTTGGTAGTGGTCCCGGTGCGCCAACGACAGAGGTATGCCGTGTCTGCGGCATGCTCGAGATGACGGAGCCGCGGTGATCGTCGGCGCGCTGCCAGTGTAGCAGATTTGGATCGGCGCGGACACTGCTGCGCCAGAGGCCGTAGGCGGGTGGGGGTGGAGGGATGATGTCTTTCTCCACGTCTGGGATTTCGGTCTGGGAGTCGAGGGATGAGTCCGCAATGGCTGATTCTTCGTCGCGGGCGAGGTGGACGCGGATAGGGACGATGGGTTTGAAGCCGTCCGGGCCATTCATGGAGGGGATATGTGGACGGTCTTCCTCGCGTGGTGGGTTGAGGATGAGCATACAGAGGCGGATGAGGGAATGGCAGAAGAAGATTGTGATGGCGAGAAGAACCATGATGAAGAGGATGTGGACTTCTTGTCCGAGATTGCGGTTGGTGAGAGCGATTGCGAGGTCTGTAGGTTGCTGTTAGCGAGAGGTTCCAAGGGGAGTAGGGAGGTAAGCAGGAAACTTACAGACGGCTAGAACGGTGGCGAGAAAGGTTCCTGATATTATACAAGCAAGCAGCTTTGCTCGTGCTGCTGTACCCCGCCTCTTTACTGATACGACAGATGTACTTCCATCGCGCCTCCTACGGACAAACTGTTTGGTGCGGTTCGTATGCCTTCTCCGCCTATGTCTCCTTCGATGCCTTCGTCCATGAATTTCATCTGCCAATTGTTGGCTTTCAGGGTCTGCATAACTATCTTGATGAGGAGAGAGTGGTACGTCTGCTGGGTGACGGCCGTAGACTAATTGTGGCTCCTGCGGGTCCTGAGGCGGCGTAATAGCACCTATGTATGATCCTGCCGAGTGCTGGGCACGCAGCGGTGATCTCGAATCGTCTGATTCATTAGGTGCTTCGTGTGTAGGGAGTGTATTTGTGTCTGGCGATGGACGTTGCCAAAGTCCCAAAAATGGTATTTTTGGTGTAGCGTTATGTTCAAGAGCTGGCGACTGCGAGTAAACTGACGAACCGTTGAATATAGTCCGTGGTAGCCGGAATGTGCCAAACCGAGATGATGATTGTGACGCTGGTGTGGCTTGCAGGTCCTGGTCTGGTCGTGGCGACCAAGCAAAGAGTGGTGACCTGAACATGATGGCCAGTATTTAGTCCAGGTAATTTGGCAGTCCAGAAATATACAGTGACGACGCAAGCGTCGGTCTTAGATACAAATAGTTTCCTTGTAGTAGACGCGTCTCCTAGCTTGACACGTCTTGTTTATTTTCTTTAATGTTGTCCAATACCAAATTGGGGGGTACTTTGGTAGCCTTGCAGAAAGGCCTCGTGGCCACGAACGGTAGCAGGGCAGGAAATGCGTGGAAGCAAAGAGAGATGACTAGAGCCCGACCTTGTTCAAGAGATGCCTAGCATGTCGAATGGATGGACCGTTGGCTCTACCTGAACCTGCTGATAAGAGACGAAACCGTCAACGTGGTAGCCCTATCAAGGCCTGAGTCGTAATGAAGTCGGATGTGACGAAGTAGCTTCCCAGAGCTGACGAGCCAAACGAAAGACTGAAATGGAAAAGAAACGAGACTCGCAGAGCTCAGCACAGCACCGCTGCCAATGAATGCGACTTGAAGGGAGGAAGAACAGAACATGGTGCAGAGAAGAGAGGGTCACAGTCACACCAAAGCTGCAAGGACGGTTGCGGTCGAGGAGGCATTGAACACCATGCCTTTCTGTAACCAGTGGTGTATCAGACTTGGGTCGCTGCGAGGGTGAAACACGACGCCGCCCGCTGCAGATCCCCTGGAGCGAGCGTCAAGTACGGGTTCGGGGGCATCGGAGCGTCAGGCGTACCATTTAGGATGATTGCGGCGGGCTGTTGGTCCATAAGCGGCGCGGGGAGGGAGTTTAGGAGCTTTGTGTTTGAGGTTGGAGGCTCGACGTGTCGTGGTTGGTTGGCGCGAACTTGGACTTGGGGCAGAGCCCATCTGAACCAATGAAGCCCCTTTGGTATTCGATCTACTACTCTACATACATGGTAAATACATCTCTATAACGAATAGTTGTCTAACAAGTAGCTGCAGCCTTGCAACCGTGGTCGGCCATCTACCTACTCTAGACACTGATGGGTTTGGGTACTGCATAATCAGCGGCTGTGTCCAACAAGTATCATTGGTCTCGGTATCTGGTACCGTCATCTACCAATCTCTTGTTTGTTGATTATTTACTTTCATGCAACAACAACACCTCTGCTCGTGTTTGTTGTACAGCAGCGTCCACAAGTTCGCGTCTTTGACGCGTCATAAGAGTCTAGCTCAGAGTCTAGCCATGGCCCACACCCCCATCCTCCCCCCTGCCCCCTTCTTTCAAGACTCGATCGATACAGGCTCGACGCCCTGACGCAGTCCAACGTTACGCCGGCGAATTTGATATCTGGATTACCGCCTCTGGGACGTGTGCTCAGACTGGATCCCAGGGCGCTCAGGGTGTTTCCCCACGCTTTTCGCGTTGATCTCCCAAACAAAGATTGTGCAGCACGACTAAGAGATGGCAGCGTTCACTTGCCAAGCTCGCCAACAACGATCGTGCGATCCGACGATGCTGTGGCCACTGTGAAGATAAAAAGTTAGCCCAATAGCGAAGAGTGCCCATTCTTTGATGGCAAGGTGTTTGTAGGTCTTCAAACCGTGTAGTAAATTCAGAGGGGTCAACTTACAGATAGGATGACCAAGAGGGTGGAAGCGAACATCATTGACGGCGCCCTTGTGACCAGGGAGCTTGCTAATCAGCTTACCCGTCCGTACCTCCCAGATGGCTACCGTTTGATCTCCACTGCCTGCCGCAATCCTCTCACCCTTCGAGTCCCAACTCGCTTTCAGCAAATTTCGTTCTTGGCCAGTGGGCGCCCCGTCATAGGTCATCAGATGTCGGTCTGCGGGCGCAAATGGCCTTACGTCCCATGTCTTGACACTCGAGTCATGCGAGTTGGATAGAAGAGTTTGATTGTCGGGGGACAGTTGTAGCGAGGCCACTGTGTCTGTGTGGCCGAGCAGCGAGTACGTCACGGCCTGCTTTCGCAAGTCCCACACCTTGATGTCGTTGTCGATGCCTCCTGTGAACAGCTCGTTGCCAGCTTCTGCCAAGCATATTGCTGTTATTGGGAAATCGGTGGGGATGAAAGTGACGGCGTCTTTTGTTCGTGTGTCCCAGATCTGATCGAGGTGTCAGCCATATAAAGATTGGCTTGAATCATGCGCTTACTCCAATGTAGCCATCGTCGGATCCGCTCACTAGCATCTCCTCACCGCGCTTGCTGACGTCCATGCAATTGATCACTTCCTCATGTCCAGGGTGTCGTCTTATTCGCTCACCAGTGTACACATCCCAGCTGGCTAGGTGCATGTCCGCAGAGGCAGAAAAGAGCACTTTGGAGTCGCGCGACCAGTGAAGATCGAGGACTGCCTGCTTGTGTCCCGCGAGGATGCCATAGTTTTCGCAGGTACCAGAGCTGTTCCATAGTACTGTTTCTATAAGCGCATATCGTTACCTGAAGGTGCTTGCTTGACTCACATATGGACCGATCCATTGAACCAGAGGCAATGTACTGTCCGGTCGGGTCGAAACGTGCAGCAAAGACTTCTCCGGAATGACCACTCAATTCCATGACTGGCGACTGCAGCGCAGTGGCCGGGCCCTAAAATGCCTGTCAACACAGCTCCCGTTGCAGCACCTGGCCTCTTCAGCGCCCCTTTGGAATTTCATACCGCTTGTATCATTGCCCCATTCTGTCCAGTGGCGCTTGATATCGCAACAGCGGTGCTTCCACCAAGATTCGCGTCCGACTTTGCGCGCTTCACCAGTTGGCTCGTACCAAAGGCGTCGGTGGCTGGTCGCTTCTCTCGTGACATGGTCGTGGAGCGATGTGGTTGCGAGTATACAGTGACGCGTTGGAGGGATTGTGGGCAGTCGTGCTATGTTGGTGGTAGTTGTCCTGCTGTACCTGAACTTTCTCCAAGTTTGAAGGGTGCCAAGCTATACCTACCTATTACCTACCTAGGTAGCTGTAAATCGCCCGAGCTCAACTCCATCTCCCTCCTCCGCATCCCTCATTAACCCCCCCTCCCCGCCTCCCACGACAGCTTCTACAGCATCACACACAGTACACTTGCGCTACCGCCCAACTCCTGCCCAACAAATTACAGCATCACAGCCCCGCAACTCTAGCGACGAGTCCAGTCAACGCGGCGACGTCACAATATGGCTTCATCAACCAAGGCAGCCCGGTTAGGCGAGGAGTGAGCGATATACGCCGTCTGTTGATTTGCTGAAGATGTGCTAATAGCTGCTAGGGTGTGGAAGTAAGTCTGGCACAGGCGCACATGCTGGCAGCTCTGATTTTCCCCAAGGACACGAGTCGACAAAATCAGCGCCGAACTGGTCACTCTCACCTATGGCACGATTGTCGCACAACTATGCAAAGACTACGAGTACAACTACGCCGACGTCAACAAACAATTGGACAAGATGGGCTACAACATTGGCGTGCGCTTGATCGAAGACTTCCTTGCCAAGTCCAGTGCGCCCGCGTGTACCAACTTTCGAGAGGTGGCAGAGATGATTTCAAAGGTATAGGATCCTCTTGGATAGCCAGGGACTCCAAGCTGACGTGCATCCTCCAGGTTGGCTTCAAAATCTTCCTGAACATTACGCCTACCATCACAAATTGGTCTAGCGACAATAAGCAGTTCTCTCTTATCTTCGAGGAGAATCCACTCGCCGACTTTGTAGAACTGCCGGATGATGGCCGAGCGCAGGATGAGCTATGGTTCTCCAATATATTAGTCGGCGTGCTGCGCGGTGCGCTTGAAATGGTATTGCATGCTCATGTTGGCGGGCTCTCGAGTGTTGGACTAACCGATGATATAGGTCCATATGCAAGTCGAAGCACGTTTCGTCAGCGACATCCTTCGCGGAAACGATACCACCGAGATGCGGATATCGCTTGTTCGTTTTATCGATGATGAGATGCCACCGGACGATGAGTAGACAACCTAGGAGGGAAAGGATAGACACGCTTAGGAATCGACTCGAGGGCATCGCTCAAGAGTGACCCTACACCGAGTGCCCGCGTATTAGCGATTCATTCGGCTATCATGGTACTGATACTTCCCGTTCCCCTGAAGCCCGAGGATGGCGAAGATGTTTGCAGAGGCCCTGGTTTGTTCCAGGAACAGGACTGGTTGGCTAGACAGGCTGCGTACCGTATGTTTCGCTTGCAATGGGCTACAAAGGTTCACTGCTATTTGAGCATGCAACAAGTGACACAAGCTGGCTTGGGCACCCAGTGAAGATGATTATCTTCCATCTACGAGGATCATCTGTGCTCACGGCGCGCTACAGCGTCAAGCACCTTGCTACTGATCGAGCACGACTTCAAGCTAGCAAAGGGGGATCGAACACCACGACTGTGTTCATAGACATGTAAGGAAGTATCTCTTAGAGCATCTCTTTCCGTCACAGAATAGAAGGTTTCACTCGCCTGCATTTGCCACAATATTCTAGAGCGGGATGTCGCACACTCCAGCTGAAGCGAAGAGAAATGCTGGCCTATAGTGAACATCTTATCCATCATAGTCGCAGTCAGGATGCTGACTACTACTACTACTACTACTACTACTACTACTACTACTACTACTACTACTACTACTACTACTACTACTACTACTACTACCGCCATTGCCTATACAGTCGCAGCTGGTTCACAACAGAAAACACCATGGAGCACATGATGTTAGGATGGACTGATGTACATGTATGATGTTTGCTGTCAGCCGGCGGTACTGTTCCAACGCGAGATTGATCAAGCGCTACGTGGAGTGTGCGAGTGAGAGTGCTGACTAATAAAGTTTGTTCCTGTTAAGGGCACCAAGGTGGCTTGCAGGATCATCAAAAATGTTGACGAGGACGCGAGATGTGTGTTTGGTCGTGAATGGCTTGGTGATTGTCCTCGTAGCATCATTCAAGCCTCTTGCTTTCCGCCCTCCTCCAGGCCCTGCCCAGCCCGTCTTGGAAAGCCCCGCTCAGACACGTGACTTGGGATGGGAGAAGTCGCTCTCCTATCGTGGGAACCTTTGGTATTTTGAATATTGTGAGGGTTTGCAGAGTGTCAGAGATGTGCTGTAGTGCTTGCGACACCGTAGATTGCGTGTTTGTTGTGCATTGCGTGCGTCGAAGACATCACGCTTGGTGGTCTATTAATTCCTGTTCGTCACGTGATGGTCATCAGTGAACGCGGAAGACGCAGCAACCTGGTGCGCTGCGCTTCCACACCCCAACCGCCTTCTTCGCCGGCTGCGTCGCGACAACCCCCCTCCCTCTGACTCTCTGTCCTTCTTTTCTGACGCGCCCATCTCGCCGCCGCAATTGTGTTCGTCGTGGCTGATCTGTGCTGGTCTGTTGTCTCTGCCCCTGTTGGAGTCGTCTGCCGCCGCCGCCGTGTTTCCAAAAGGCCTTCCACGCTGCGGGCTAGCCCTAAGCCAACCCCCCCCCTCCCCCCGACCACTGACCCGCATCTCGAAGCGCATCGCAAGCCAACAGGCCTCGCCCAGTTGTCTCCCCCAAAGTCCCTTCCACGACCCGTCGCGCGACTTTTTCCGCCCTGACCGCCTGGCAGCTGGCTTGGCGCTCCACACACAAGCACCCTTGTGGCGACGGCGTCGATCGATGCTCCTGTAGTTGACATCGTCCTGGCACTGAGGTGCACCATCCAGCGCGTCTATTGCTTCCTCCCCTCCTCCCCCGCCTTCCTGATCTTCTCTTCTTTTCGACCCAGCGACTGCGCCTGACGCGGCCGACGCCTACCGCCCAGAGCCCGCGTCGCCATGCAGAGCCAGCAAATGGCCCAGATGGCCGCCATGAACGCCAGCAACGGCTCCGTCGACGGAACTCCCATGATGAATAACAAGCGCATGATGACGGATCCGCGAGAGCAGCTTAACACGTACATATACGACTACTTTCTGCGCAACAGCCACTTCAAACTGGCCCGGGCCATGCTCGACAGTAGCGACACGGTCAAGATGTCGACGGGCCCGCCACAGAAGCCTAGCCCCAACAACAGGCCCAACGGTGTCGATGCAATGGACACAGAGGGTGCGGAAAACTTCCCCTCACCGCAGCTGCCCCCAAATCAGATGGCAGACAACTCGTTCCTCTTAGATTGGTGGGTGCAGTTCTGGGACATTTACCAGGCCACAAAAGCCCGCGCCGGCACCGGCCCCTCCAAAGGCAACCAGTATATACAGCACACACGTGTAAGCATATTCGATGCTCGCGCACAGCCGCGTACTGACTTGTTGCACAGAACCTTACACAGATGCAAAACGAACAGCGGAACCAGCGCATGATGATGAACAACCCGATGAGCGCCCAGTATCAGATGATGACGCGGAACGGCATGCCCAACGGCGTCCAGGCAAACGACCTGAAGCGCGCCGCAGCGATGAATAACCGACCGTACGCACCTCAGCAGAAATTCACATTGTGAAGCGCTGCAAGGCTAACCTTCAATAGTAACGGAAATTCCATGGCAGCAATGCAGATGAAGAACCCCGCCATGATGGCTGCTCAAATGCAGCGAGACGGCTCTGGCATGGAGATGAACGGCCAGCGCCCGCAATCACCAGGGGCCAACGAGAGTGCACCGTCTCCCAACAAGAGACCCCGCGTTGACGGTACGTCTTGTGTTGCTTTGTACTTTTTGACATGGCTTCTAACGACAGTTGTGTGCAGGTGGAATGAATGGTGGCAACATGCCTGGGAATCAATTTGGTGAATTCGCCCAACAGGGCCAGAATTCGCAACAGAAGATTGAGGTATATGCCCAAAGCCTGGTGAACCAACACAGAGTGGCACTGAATAACACTTCGTCCTCTCAGGGTATGAATTCTGGCGTTCAAGGTTCTCCGATGGCCCATCCAGGCCTGGACGGTCAGGAGAACATGTTCGCTGGCAACGGGCCGCGTACCGGCATGCCTCCCAACGGCGCACCTGGCGCACCTCAGCAAGGCAACCATGCTTTGCAAGACTATCAGATGCAGCTCATGTTGCTTGAGCAGCAGAACAAGAAACGCTTACTGATGGCACGTCAGGAACAGGACAACATGTCGGGCCCCCATCAACAGGGTGGCGTCGGTGCGCCTGGCTTTGCAACAGCCATGTCACCACAAGGTAGTAGAGCAGGCCCCTCACCCAACCCAACAGAGATGAAACGAGGCACACCCAAGCTGGGACAGCAAGTCCTACCAGGATCACCAATGCCTGATGGTGTCATGCAACAGCAGCGGGGCTCTCCCGCACCAAACATGAACTTCGACCCCAATCAAGTCCCTCCTGGAATGCCACCACAGTATTACTCGCAAATGCCTCAAAATCCCATGAGGCCACCGCCCCCCAGCTCGCATCCTGGAGCCAATTTCAACGGTCAGCAAATGACGGCGCAGCAAATGGAAGCCATGCGCGCGGGCCAGATGCAAAACACCGCATGGCGTGGCCCACCGCAGCCTGGAATGATGCCAGGACAGCAGCAAATGGGTGGTCCAATGGGCCAGAATCCCCAACAACGTCAACAAATGCCTCCACCTCCAGCACCTTCCAACGAGCAGCCTAGACCAGAACCATCTCCCTCTCAATCTAACCAGGCACCACCAACGCCAAACCAAACGAACAAGGCCAATCCAAAGAAAAAGGTCACAAAAGACAACAAGGTATATTCGCGCTGTTCCCCTTACCCCTTTGAGCATCGTTGATATTGATTGTAGAAGCCCGCCAATAAAAAGGCTGGAAATGCAGGTGCCGCATCAGCAAACGCGAACGGCGATGAACCTCCCACGCCGACCTCATCCACGCCGGTGGCTCCCATCACGCCGATTCATGCGAAGTCGTTTGCCCAAAATGGCCAACAACAACAGCAGCAGCAGCCTGTGCAGCAAGCTACTCAGCAGCAGGGCATGGACAATAATGGGCCTCCATTTGGCAACATTGGTGACGGTACTGACGTAAGTGTTAACGGTATATCCATCTCCGTCACATAAGATGTTAATGTATCATAGGCCCCGTTTGACCTGAACTTCAACCTGGATGACTCTGGTGCCTTGGAGAACTTCGATTTCGACTCATTCCTACATACTAGCACCGATGACAATGGCTTTGGAAACTTAGTCGGAGAATTCGATTTCACCAATACGGCAGAGGTTGGAGGCGATCTATAATTGCCTGTCAAACACGGTTACAAAAAGACCGCGTGGACCAAGACCAAAACACCAAATTCGTTCATATACCCAAATCTATTCGAAGCTCGATCGCTGTCTTATCCGGAGCATTGGGGACTGGGAATATTCTTTTGGCGATTGCTAACTCAAGTCGTTGTATGACATTACTCGGAGGCGTTTCCCCCATTCTTTCGTCTGATTCTACTTGTTCCCCGGCGTTCTCCATTCACTACCACTTTTTCCTTTTGAGGGATGTCTGCTGCGATCTTCGGGATTGCGTTTTCGACATATTGCTATATTGACCCGAAGGCTTTCGCTGCTCTATTGTCCCATTTCCTTGTTATTTCACTCGCTCGCTACCATGTCATCTACGTTATGGGGCGCTGGAGTTTTACACTAACTCGTTTGTTTTCGCTTCTTGTCGTGTGTTTTCTTCTTTCGTCTTTCGAGAGACTGGTATCTCGAGATCCGGATCTATCTAGACTCCAACTATGGCCTAGTCTCTCTTGGCCCTCATGGCCCTCGTGGCCGTGGGTAGGAAAGAGAGCGCGCTGGGACGACGGAGAAAAGGGCAGAGCTATAGGGGAACCTCGGATTCCAGAACATTGGTTTTTTGTGGAAGGAAAGAAGGAGAAAAAAAGGCAGAAGTTTCTGTTGGGTGGGGGGTGAGAGGGAAGAAGTGGGTGGAAAAAAAGAGTTGGATAAAACCTTTTTTGTTCATGACGGGATTTTCGAGACGGACATTGCTATACCAATTTTTTTTATCTTCTTGTTTTTTTGCTTTCTTCGCACAGTTGGTAGGCGGGCGGTTTGGGACCGTTGGGGCGGAGCTGAATGGGGCCGGGAGGGTTCTTGTCTCTCTCTTTTTCTTTTTCTTATTTGAGTTTACTTTTGTGCTGGATTGATTTGTTTGCGTCTGGATTTGCGTTGGCGGGGCGGAGAGGAGGGGAGGTGGGGGGAACGCCGTGATTGATGTTGTGGTGGTGGTGGTAGTGTTGATTGTTTGTTTGTCTGTGCTTTTTTTCTGGTGGTGGTGGTGGTGGTGGATGTTGCTGTGTTGTGCTGCTGTGTTGTGCTATTTTATTTTGCTATTGTTGAGCCCTTTTTTCACAGACGACTTAATGCGATAAGTTCCTTTTGTTTTTGACCGCTGCTTGCTCTGCTTGCTCTGCTTGCTCTGCTTGCTCTGCTTGCTCTGCTTGCTACACCATGCTTACTCCATCTGCCCTGCTCATACCAAGCCCACCCATACAAGCCGAAACAAACATCCTCACAGTCGTAGTCTCTGACACGCTCTCCCTTCCTACTTACTCTCCCTCCTATCTGCCCACACAAGCTCTGTTAGACGGTGATCTCCTGATATACTGTGGATAGACTTATGATGGCTTGGGTGATGAGGGTGTTAAGGATTAGGTATTCCAATTCATGATAATATATAATATATAATTATAATATACAATCTATCTCTGTAGCTTATAACCTGCTAGCTTACTACTGCTACTCCCTACTCACCACTCCCTACTCACCACTCCCTACTCACCACTCCCTACACCTTCCTATTGCCTAGCGTAGGAAAGAGAAAAGCACCAAGTAGAGTCGAATATGTAGATAGGTGTGTAGAGGATATATGGGGTTGCTTGTAGTACTTGGTTTGCTTGCGGGGGATCTTAGTAGGGGGGGAGTAGTGCTAGGCGTGGGTTCATGGGCTGGGGTCTCGGTGAATAGACGATAGGTAGATAAATAGGCGTGTCTAGTAGGTATATAGGTAAATAAATACCTAAGTTGATTATAACTTCTATATGAACAGATATATAAAAATATCTTCGCCACAGCGATCACGTCCTCTTTTTCCACCAATGCATCCAACGAGTCGTAGCATACTGTTACATGATTATCCCCTCAGACAGCACAACAGTCAAGTCTTGATACCTAGCACTTGACATCCTTACACCATGCCCACAACATTACGCTTTGATAAAACTGGCAATCCAAGGTAAGAAGGTGTAGTGTACGACGCCGTTACATTCTTTAATAACGTCGCTTAAACGCAATGCTAAAGTAACAGCAGAACAACGAGACAGAATGGGCAGCTTGGGATTTGCTACCTGAAGCGTAGCTGGTGGGTTTTATCTGGTGTTCAGTGACCGAGAGGTCCGGTGAACGGTGAACTCAGATTAGGTCTTGGGCTTGGTGGGTGGAGGGGATATGCGTCTTTTTTTCGGCGTGCGTGTTTAAGTGAAAAGTATTATCGTAGAAGAACATGGGTATTTCTCTGGGGAAGTTCGAATATAATTGCGGGGTTAGAGTTGGGTTCATGGTTTGCAGGTTTGAGAGCGATTGCTAATTTGAACACTGCCACATCGTCGACGAACATACCCTGCTTTTAGAAACCAATATGTCCCTTTTTTTTTCAGAGAATTTCCCTTGTAAAGTATGGAATATCTACTACATCAAGTAAAACAATCTTAAATTAAAATCATCGTGGCTCTGGGACAGGCTACATCCCGTCAACATCTCGAACTATAGCCATCTTCCCACCCCGCAGGCTCCCTAAACCAAAGCATAAATTTAAACTACAATTAGCACCAACGCTTTCAAACCCTCTCAAAGTACAAAAAATCTCCACGATATACCTTCTGACCTCAATTAGCCTTCCCCCGTCCCCGCCTGCCCCCCCTCTTCTTCCAAAACCTTCAGACCCAAGAATTGTAAATACTCCGCACACCACCCCCGGCCACCCTCCACCACATGCGCGCGCCAAAACTTTTCCCAAGCAGCAGTTCTAGAACATGCGCCTTGTGCAAGCTTGACCACACTGGAATAAACATCATGACATGTATGCCACACCTTAGCTCCCATGACAAACCCAGCACCTCGCAAACCCGCTACTCCTGCGCCAAAGCGTGCGGTGTGTGTGTCTGTATGCATATGGTTAAACTTTTGACGTACGTTAGACCTTATCCACGATACTAGAGTAGCGCGAACTTCTCTAGACACGGGACAGTGTTGTTGAAATTGCCTTGGTATGCGAAGGATGGAGTGAGTGTATTCCATAGCGTCGAGGAGTTTATTGCGTAGAGTGCATTGTGGCGTTTTTAAGGTTCTGTCAATGGAACTATGGAAAAAACACTAGACTGGTTGTTAGGTTAGAACGTGAGGGGTGCATAAGGACGGATAGGGCGCGACTAAGTGCGTGCGAGGATGGGGGAGCCGGATCTTTAAGACGATTAGGCTTTGGTGCTAGAGGGGCGGTCTGGATATTGATGGGGTTGGTGGGGAAGGGGGAGGTTTGGATGGATAAGTTTGCTTCTGTGTGATGGATAGCATGGAGTGGGAGCTAATGTAGGATGTGGAGACGGTGGGAAGATTCGGGCGTTTTTAAGTAGGGGGCAAGGGCGTGCGTGAGTTGGATGTTTGGATGGTATGACTACGTTAGATTGATGTCATTGTAGAAGCTATTTATTTGCAAGTGCTTGTTAGTTGCACACAGACAGGGTAGGGATATGCTAGGAAGCATCCTTAACTAAAGTCGAGTCAATTAGCTGTTCAAGGTCATCGATGTCGCCAGTTGCTATTGGTCAAACTTGCACAAAACGAGAGAGCCAATATGCAAGACAAATTAGTTGTGACGGACAGTCAAATAATACAGTTTATAAATCTCAAGTTCTTAAACATGGTTTTCAGTTTCCCGGATCTAATCATAGAAGCCGAGAATCTTATTCGCCCGATCCAGAATCACTCTCTCGCCAGGCGTCAGACCAGCAGCATCGCTATCCCACTCTACGAGTCCCATGGCTCTACAGCCCTCTTCACCAACCAGATCCATCATATCTTCAGCCTCGACGCGACCTTTGTGCTCACTCTCTCCTACACCTCCCCCAAAGTCGGGGCTAGGGGTTCCATTGACAAAGTTCTCGCGTTGGCGTACCAGATAGTTGGCGTTATCCTCAGTCATAGGGCATGCTGGGATGTACAATACACTTGAATCTGATTTGCCTGCATGGGTCCTGTCAACCGAGTGAATTGTATCGCAATGCCATGCCACATAGTCGCCGGGTCTGACTGTGGGCACATGAATCATAGTCTTTTGTAGGTTCAAATGCGGATGCAGTAGATGTGATAACTCCTGGCCGTGTCCTGGAGTCGCACCTTGGACCCAAGCTGAGGCAGTCTTATCCATCTCCCAGTTATCTGATGCGAGGAAGTCTGCGGTATTGGAGATGGCTTCAGATGCAGGCTGTGCTCCAGGATCCACGCCGCGCTTTGGTGAGAAGAATGGTCGTAGTAGATAGTATGCTGTTGCTTTCGCTAGAAGCGGGTTAACAAGTAATGTACCCTCAAAAGGTCCAGTGTTGGACATGGACAACCAGCCCTGGAACATGCGGAATGCACTACACGCTCCTACACCATTATGCAGATCCGATACGACAGGGAGTCGGCAGCTTGCCTCCCAGGGATCAAACTCTTCCCATTTGCCTTTCCAGATCGCGTCGTAAACTTTTCCCAGTCCGTAGCCTTCTTCAGACCAGCGTTCCACACTTCCACCGTCAACGTGTGGGCCAAGGGCGAATTTGGCATCGCCTGGGAGACGCATGCGTAGACGGTCTGCGTAGCTAATGGGGTGTCTCACGGAGAGTGGTGCATGAGGCGTTGCACTGTGCCAGTAGGACATGAGGAAGCGTTGTGTTTTGAGGAGGTTGGGGTTACCGCGTGCGAGGAGTTGGGCCCGTGACCAGTACAATTCAAAGACTTGAGGGTTGTCAGGTGGAAACGCTGAGTTGTAAATATCAGTGAGGCACTACACATATATTAGGAAAGAGGGCACCTTTGGTTTTGGGATTTGCTCGTATGTACTCCCTTGATTCTTGCTTCCATTGTAAAACTTGCTGCTCTGGTATGACACCCCGAATGACAGCAACACCCATCAGCCTCAGCTCTTTACTGAAGGTTTGCGGTGCATTATCAAGGTCTTTGAAGTCAATTTCGGGTATGACTTGACTACCGAGCTCAACGATTGCTGGTATTTCCTTCCTCAGGTCTCGGAGTAATCGATTCCAAGACTCACGAACTGCGTCTTCATTACCGCGAATCAGACGGCTTTTGAGCTCAGCATATTCTGGAGAGAGGGGACCGAATTGCTGCCCAGAGAGCGACACAAACGCGTCCGAGATATCGCCTGCGCGTTTCTGCGATTGAGAGGTGGCGGTCCGTGATTGTGTGATGACTCGTTTCAAGGGAGAGCGGATGATTCGAACGGCGGAAAGCATGTTGGACCAAAAGTTTTTCTTTTCACAAGGAGGCGCGTCGACTTTGCACTTGGTCATCTCCTTAAGTTGGTCTTCTCCAGTCTCCGCACCAGCTCATTATCAAGTGCCCGTCGCTCTGCAGTTGCTTCGACACACACACGTCGTGGTTCCGACATGCACTCGAGGCTGAGGGAGAGAAAGGATGACGTCTGATCGGAACCTCTTCTCGACCGAGCATAGCGCGATTTGGTTAGCAGCCCACGGCTCGAGTCCTCCGCCTTTTGTGAATGCGCCAAAAGTAAGTCTTCCGACATTGTGCCATACAGGCCGTCTTTCTCTCCGATTGTCGCAAATGAGCGTGAGAGGATCACTGTTGGAGTATCGTGATCGCAGTTGAAGGTATCGGAACGCAGTTGTCTCGCCAGAACCTGCCTCGATATCTCCCCCAAGCCCACCTCACAGCCACGAGCGTCACAGTCGAGTGTGGCTTCTGCGTTACGTCCCGTGGGATAAACGGCAGGTTGAATCGACGGCCCGCGTCTCCACTGACCGCCTCACTCGTCGTGTCCTCTGGATGGCAGAATGGACGCAAAAGTACAGCTTCGTCATGTGCAGCCTCGGAACGACTGTGACTATCAGCGGGGGCGGCGTCGTGGGAGCCATTGAGGGCACGACGAACTCCAAGGCAGCCCACCTGAGATCAACGGAGCGTCGACAAGTGTCTTGTCTGTGTTCCTGCGCATCGGATAAGCAAGCTGTTGTCTACGGTAGTACGCTTGAACACGGTTACGGCGGGACGTTCTCCGTAACCAACACAGCAAGTCCCAGTACTACCGCTGGGTATATGAAGTATAGCTGCCCTGTGATACAAGCTTCTCCTACATCTTTCCATTGTCAGCGGGACGGATTGAATAGCCATTCGCACAATGTCGCAGTCATACTTACCAAAGGACTTCCTGTGGGGCTTTGCTACAGCAAGGTTCGTATTCCTCAGAACCTCTCCACAAAACTTACCCCGCTACATCAAACCTACTACAAGCAGTCTTGTCACATACTGAATTTTGTTCCTACAGCTATCAGATTGAAGGTGCACCACATGAGGACGGCCGTGCAGATTCCATCTGGGACACGTTTTGCCGTATTCCAGGCAAGATTGCTGGCGGAGAGTCCGGAGATGTAGCCTGCGACTCCTACCACCGCACCGCTGAGGACATTGCCCTGTTAAAAGAGCTTGGAGCCAAGTCATATCGTTTCTCTCTCTCATGGTCTCGTATCATCCCGCTCGGCGGCCGCAATGACCCCGTCAACGAAAAAGGCATTCAGCACTACATCAAATTCGTCGACGACCTTCGCGCAGCAGGCATCGAGCCGTTGATAACGTTGTTTCACTGGGATCTGCCCGACAACCTGCATAAGCGATATGGCGGTATGTTGAACAAGGACGAATTCGTCAAAGACTTCGAGAACTACGCCAGGGTGTGTTTCAAGGCCTTCGGTTCCAAGGTCAAGTTTTGGATTACCTTCAATGAGCCCTGGTGCAGCTCCGTTCTCGGATATGGCACCGGGTTATTCGCTCCCGGACGATGCAGCGATCGGAGTAAGAGTGCAGAGGGAGACAGTTCAAGGGAGCCGTGGATCGTCGGACACTCGCTCCTCGTCGCCCATGGTGCGGCGGTGAAGGCTTACCGTAACGACTTCAAGCACAAGGATGGAGGCCAGATTGGGATCACACTCAATGGTAAGCGAAACAAACCCACATGGTTACCGTATTACGCAAAAGTAAATCCTTCGTGCGGGTACCAGCCTCGTGCACAGGAGTCCACTATTGAACTTAGGGACGAGTTCGAAATTAATTTGCTAATGCGTCCCCTTGCGTAGGTGACTGGACAGAACCTTGGGATCCCGAGGACGCCAAAGATCGCGAGGCATGTGATCGCAAGCTTGAGTTTTCAATCTGCTGGTTCGGTGACCCAATATACTTTGGCAACTATCCAGACTCGATGCGGAAGCAACTGGGCGACAGACTGCCGCGATTCACGCCCGAAGAGGTCGCCTTGGTCAAAGGTAGCAATGACTTCTATGGAATGAATCACTACTGTGCACATTACATTAGGCATAAAGACACTGAGCCGGAGCTGGACGATCATGTGGGCAATCTGGACATTCTCCAGCAGAACAAGCAGGGCGAGTGGATTGGTCCAGAGACGCAGTCTCTCTGGCTAAGGCCAATGCCTTTGGGATTCCGGAAACTGATCAAATGGCTAAGTGACAGATATGGAGGTCCGACGTTTTACGTGACCGAGAACGGAACGAGCGTAAAGGGCGAGAACGAGTTGCCTCTGGAGCAGCTCTTGGACGACGAGTTCCGATGCGAATATTTCAGGGGATATGTTGGTGCCCTGGCTGATGCCCACACTATTGACGGTGTGGATGTCAGGGGTTACTCGGCGTGGAGTCTCATGGAGTATGTCGAAACCCTTTCATTATCTCAAGTTGTTTGCTTCACCTTCTCATGGTAGGACGCTTGTCGGATTGAGCTTGCCCGTGGCGATGCGGTCCCGTGCGTAGCAGATCGATCAACCTTCCTAGCTTCAAACATCTGAGCTTCTGCCGCGGACGCCTAGCGCTAACAAACGTGCGTGCAGCAACTTCGAATGGGCCGAGGGCTACACAACGCGCTTCGGCGTTACTTTTGTCGACTACAAGGGGGCCCAGAAGCGATACCCAAAGAAGAGTGCCCGCGAGATCTCACAAATCTTCGATAGATATATCAGAAAGGAGTAATAAGACCGACGGGTGTGGCGGCGCGAGAGGGCCGCGGAAATGTCTTCCGTCGAATCATTGTCGAGCAAGGGAATAGTTGAGCGAAAAGGCATGATGCGCTTCTAGCATTATTCTAGTCTGTCCTGCGACAACGTGTGGAAACTTCTGCGGTCCCTCCTTTGACCATTTCAGCAATTTTCTCCACCTTGGGTATCCATACATAGTGTAGTCGGAGCATTGCGCCATCTTGGGGTAGTTCAGGCTGGTGGCGTATCTCCCGCTCCCGCCTCAGGATCTTTCGAATTCAACATGCCCCAATGAAAATTTATGGTGTATGGTGTTCAAACGAGAATCGGATTTCGGTGATGCCGTAAACCAGTGATGTCCATTGAGACAAAGGCTACATACTGGCTTCCGAAAGGCCGCAGCACAGCATCGGACCGCGTCATCATGGCCTGCATATGCGGCTGAGTAGGGTTGAACGACAGCCACTCGCTCGCCTTCAAGGTTGTTGCCCGGTGCTCCCCGAGTGGTCAGTATTGGCACGTAGTGTAGACCGACAGTATCTACTGTATGTACAGCACCATCCATTGCACCACCGCACATGCAGCAACCCCACATGTCGGCTTAATCTTGACAGCCATATGCTTGTCCATCACGTGAGACACACGGAGGGTTCTCGACCAAGACCGTAACAGTAAGCGTTTGCAACCTCGCATTCGGGTAGTGGATGACACGGATGAGCGACACAGTACAGTTGGCTGGGTACAGCAACAGAGTTCACGGCAGATTCGTTTTGGGTTTACCTCTTGCTTCTACTCCAAGGGGTTCTAGCCCGAAGCTAGAAGAGAACTACGAAAGGGGAGTTGTTGCATGTTGGCGCACAAGCATGAAGAGCTTGCGCATGGTGTGGACAATGGCAGCTGAGATGACGCCCTCGGTCAACGAATCGCACGTACAGTATGCAACGCCTGAGCAAGAAGCGAATGCAATGGGAGAGACTGTGAAGGGGGATAGGATGGAATGGAATGGAATGGAATGGGTGGACGAATGGATGAATGGATTAGCTGTGCGGTGTGTTGCTGTGTGGTGCAACACCCTGGCTTGTCCTCCCGCAAACTTTAAATCTACAAGCATGTTTCAGACGAGGACGGCTCCCTCGTGGCCGCCAAAACAGGTACAAGCCAAGAGGCAAGTGGATGCAGTTTCTGGCAAACCTGAAGGAGAAAGCGAAATCCGGGACTGGGTTCTCGGTCTCGATTTATTTTGTCCGCATGAGACAGGCGGTGGCTTGGGATGAATATCGGGGCTTTTTCAGGATCATGGACAAAGTGGAACTGCGGTTCCAAAATTTGGTAGCGAGTTAGTGCCATCGTGTCAGGACGGCTTCGGCGGGATAGCTTGATATTGCGAACGGGCAACGGGATCTTGGTACTGTATATGCCATGGTCTCTGAGTGATGGAACAATTTGACCTTTTTTTGGGCAGCCGTTGGTCCGAGCCAGTGTGGATGTTGGTTGCGCAATCGTGAACGGACGTGGGATTGACCATGGTTCCCTGACGGCAAACCCTTGGGTCTGGTTTGCACTAGGCTTTTGCTTGCAGCGCCAGAAACTCTACACCGTGCAATACACAGAGTCGTGACGAGCAAGTGAAATCAAGCGGTTTCTGGCAAACCCCATCCAGTCCCTCGGATCTGAACCGGTCCAGGAACCCCCCCCCCCCTCCCATACTGTTACTTGGTAACTTTTGGAGGAAGCAAGACAGCCTTACCTACCGCTTCCGATCTTGAACTTTCTCTAGATGAAGCGTGTTGGGTCTAGAACATCATGAGACTGTTTACTGTTGAGCATAGGTCAGCAGAGTATGGAAGCATAATTGCTAATTGGTTACGTGACATTGCTGTTGTCATCTGCTGACTATGACATGTTGGTAGGGGAGCTACGACGTTCAATCTGCCTTGCATGCTGCTAGAGACTTGGGGGGAGAGTAATCACAGAGATGTGATGGGCGTTTCAGGGGTGGGCTATGCTCTCGATGCAGGCCGGCTAGTCTTATCTCTTTCTTTCTCTCTCTCTCTCTCTCTCTCGCACTGTACCCAAGTCTACTGTACAGATGATGGTGGTGATTTGCAGAGCTTCTACCAGTAAACAAGACCTTCTCCAAGCGCCACAACAACGGAGAGCCTGGATGATGCTTGCAAGCACGGTCTTCCCAAGATGGCGCCATGTTCGGACGCCATCTCAATGCGGAACCGCAGGTTTGCTGGTGCTTCGAGACGGACCAAGACAGCGACACTAGGTAGAAGCTTTGCAACACGCACTCGGATTGATCTTACCTAGAGTGATGATTGCGTGAGAGAGGCGAGCTAGGGACGGGCTTTGTTCCCACAAACAGTGAGGCTGGTAGGGCCTGTGCGACAGTCCACGTTGCTGGGTTACGGTAGGTTGATTGAGCATGTGCTAAAAAACTCGAGGCCATTCAAGATGTGACGCGCACTGCTCTTGTGGTCGTCTCATCTACGTCCGATGACTTCCATGCAAATAAGGAAAAAAACGGTCTACTAACCATTCCGAGAGAGCCGCTGCAGAAATTGCGGCGTGGGCGAATCTCGCCTCCACTCTTGCCCCTCCGAACAGCCCTCTCACGAACACGATTTTCTTGCCCTTGTCCTTGCCTACGCCGGCCCATGCAAGATTTGAGTACCATAGTATGGTACTATAGAATGTATGTAGGAGTACAATTGCGGTCCTTCTTTTCGCGGATTGTGGGTCGCGGCCGTCGGAGAGAGGCACAGTGCCCCTGGTAGCGCTGCCGACGTGCATCATCTTCCACATTTCAGAACACTTTGCCGAGTTTCCTCCTATCCAATCGTCAGCGCCAAGCCATTCTCATGTGGCTGGAGAGAGGACGAGAGAGACGAGGGTTGTGCGTGAGAGAGAGGAGGCATTAGGGATCATGGATCTTGGGCCCTTTTTGCCTGCTGCTGTTGGGACTTCGCCGCAGGCAGGCAGGCAGGCAGGCTCCATACTGGTTCAAGATTGACACCACACTCGCCGTCGTGAT